GTTGTGTTAAACTGACAGTGTAAAGTCCATGAAACATGGGCAGCTGACAGTGTAAGTCCATGAAACATGGGCAGCTGACAGTGTAAGTCCATGAAACATGGGCAGCTGGCTGTGTTAAACTGTCATTGTAAAGTCCATGAAACATAGATAGCTGACAGTGTTGAGTCAATAAAACATGGGAAATTGACAGTGTAAAGTTTATGAAACATGGGCAGCTGACAGTGTAAGTCCATGAAACATGGGCAGCTGGTTGTGTTAAACTGTCATTGTAAAGTCCATGAAACATAGATAGCTGACAGTGTTGAGTCAATGAAACATGGGAAACTGACAGTGTAAAGTCTATGAAACATGGGCAGCTGACAGTGTAAGTCCATGAAACATGGGCAGCTGGTTGTGTTAAACTGTCATTGTAAAGTCCATGAAACATAGATAGCTGACAGTGTTGAGTCAATGAAACATGGGAAACTGACAGTGTAAAGTCTATGAAACATGGGCAGCTGACAGAAATCACATGAAACACGGGCAGCTGACAGTGTAAGGACATGAAACAATGGCAACTGACATAAATCCATAAAACATGGGCAACTGATATTAAGTCAATGAAACACGGGCAGTGTATGACAGCGTAAAGGCCATAAAACAATGAAGCATCGCAAGCAGACAGTGAAAAGGCCATGAGACATGGTCAGCAACTGACAGTGTAAATGCCATGAAACATGGGCAGTTGACAGTGTAAAATCCATGAAACGTGGGCAGGCCATGAAACATGGGCAGCTGACAGTGTAAATTCTATGACACATGGGCAGCTGACAGTGTAAAGGTCATGAAACACGGGTAGCTGACAGTATAAAGGCCATGCAACATGGTCAGCTGACAGTGTAAAGGCCATGAAACATGGGCAGCTGACAGTGTAAAGTCTATGAAACACGGCAGCTGACAGTGAAAAGTCCATGAAACATGGGCAACTGGAAGTGTAAAGGCCATGAAACATGGGCAGCTGACATTGTAAATTCTATGAAACATAGGCATCTTCCAGTGTAAAGTCCATGATGGCAGTGTAAAGGCTGTGAAACACGGGCTACTGACAGTGTAAAAAGGGCCGTGAAACATGGGCAGGTGACAGTGTAAAGACATGAAACGTTGGCAGCTGACAGTGAAAATGCCATGAAGAACGGGCAGCTGACAGTGTTAATGTCATGAAAAAAGGCAGCTGACAGTGTAAAGTCCATGAAATATGGACAGATGACAATGTTAAGTCCATGAAACATGGGCAGCTGACAGAGTAAAGTCCAATTAAGTTACACAGATAGAAGCAGACTTTGATGATACCTGATGACAGTTAACAACTATAATTAAAGTATGCCAAATAATATATCAATATTATTCAGATGCGGCGTCTACAGGAAATATAGATATTTTATGACCATTATTATTCTATAAATCTATGGAACTTAACTGTAATATTAGATTAAATACATTTCGTAAAAAACTCAGTATGCTGAAATTGATTAATGTTTTTTGTAATGTAGTGAATCGAAACCAAAATTAAGTTCATTAACTATAAGCGAATGTATAATTATATGATATATTAATCTAAATTGCCTTATTAAGTGGTTGGTTTCATTTTACCTACAAGTTTGTCAGAAGTTTATATATTCACTCTTGTGATATGTTCTTTTAAGATAGAGTAATATCGTTGTGATAAATGTAATTATAAATGTAACGCAATAATGAGTCAATTAAACAGGATTTCTATAAGTCAATGCAGCTGTTTCCGCTTTGTGATTACAAATGTGACACAGAAGTTATATTCAAGCGAGCTGGCGTCTGAATACAAATGCAAGATGCATAAGTGCACTATGAACGAAGTATCATGGTTACAATTTTTATTCCTGGGTCGGGAGTGCAAAGCTTTCAGACGTAACCCCCGGAACAACCCATATGTTTCGAATGTAATAAAGTTCTATGAATGTGCATGGTTTTCAGGGATAGCTAGTGAAGTTTACAAATCTTAAAGTTGATGATTTACCTAAGGTTTACAATGATATGTTCTTGTATTATAAATATATGAAAATTATGACGAAACAAGTTAATTTATTCTTTGCATAATGGCTAAAATAGTTACTTTGCGGAAAAATGCAATACTTCAATTAACAGGTGAAATATTGAAGTTTCATTAAAGACAAGATACTCGTTATCAAGCAAATATATTGGATAGTTTGGGGAAGATGTTTTATATTAGTTGAAGAGAGAAATGTTGTAATAATGTAACATTTATTGTAAAGATATAGTATGCATTAACATGCTGATAAATATTGAGATTTCTACACATGTCGATACCAGACTAATTGCCTTGTAATGTATAGAACTTAATACATCTAGTTAACTAATGAATTCAAGAAACACGTTCATTGTAGATAACATCACATTTTATTATTGTTGTTTATTACACTCTATAATTATGATGCTTGTACTGTTTAAAATTGTTATCAGATTAAAATAATTACATCTATACACGCACATATAATAAAAGCATCTTTAAAATCTTTAAAAAAAAATACATGTACGTAACTTATAAATTACGTGTATAGAAAGTTCTAAAAATATGTTCAGGATAATGTATACATGTGTTGAAATTTCAAAGGGGTTTGTATGCATTCATTATAAAACTATATATATAAATAAACACCAAACGAATCCCAGAAAAGGGAAAATATGTAAAAATATACTGGTATCAACTGAGCTTTTTTCATTTTAATATTAAAGTTTCCATGATCACTATGAAAGGAAGATAGTCATAAGAGGTAAATTCGGCCAGGATACATATAGCAAGTTAACTAGAGTAAATGAAAAAAAAAACTATTTAAAAATTGTCTAGTCACTAGAAGAACATAAATTCAATACATTTTACTCACATATCAGTAGCTTCCTCAACATGTATATATTCAGTAAAATACACTGATACCTTTGCACAACCAAACCTACAAACACAATCTTTACCCTAGGTACTGGTTAGCAGGAAATACATTTCTTCACAGATTCCTGTATTTTAATTATTTTTATCCGCAAGATTCCATCTAATTATCTATATCAGAATGTAACGTTGATAACGAGTAATGCAGTATGAACATTGATTTTCTGGCCTTTTTTCTCTCTCTCTCTCTTCTCTCTCCCTCTCTTTACCCAAGGCGACTATTGATCTTGTACACAGTATTGGCATGTTCTAAACACAAGAACAACACTCGAGTTAAGAGGTTATGCAGCCTGTTCTGTTTACACAATGTGTGTCAGTAGGAAAAAAGGTTAGAAATAAACACCAGCCTCTGTAAATCAACACATTTTCCCCTCCTCTTTTCTTCCTGATAAGAAGAGATTGTACTTAAAGAGAACATATGTGTGCCTGTTTTATACCGGATAAAGATCGCTGATATATAGGTTATGTTTAAACAAATCTGTTTTATAAGCAAAATCATTATCAATCTTTCTGCAATCTAGTTATGCAGTAATAACTGTTTATATAGCATAGGTTGATTACCATGGCAATATTTTCCTATTAACAGGAAAATACAGTTGGGATTGAATCGATTCCCCCATCAACATCATATGAAACCAATATTGTTATTTTTTTCAGTCAATATTCACTGCTTTCCTGTATATATTATGAACATTACTTCAACAGAGAAAGAAAACGCATATTTACATGTACCCTATCATTATCAATATATAAGAACATGACTGTTTCCAGTCCTTTGAAAACCACCTACCGTATAGGAATCTAAATTAACTCCAAAATGCTCAAGTCACAGAGCATTCACGGGATTTAACCCGGATAATTCCATTCATACACATATGCCATAGAACCTGTGTCGCGTCATTTTCAAAATCTTTAATAGCAGTAATATATTCCTATAATAATTAAACACTCCCAATTCTAGCCATTTCTCACAAATATTAATAGGTTATATTATCAATTTATATATTCGTTTCTATAGGGAATGGAAGTTGTGCATAAATCATACTCGTTTCCAGAACGAGGCTACAGCAGGCGATCAATCGTCAGGCTCTTGCAGACGATTGGAAATTTATTCAGATTTGGAGTATAATATTGTTGGCGCAGTTCGATCGAAGTCGCTGGTATTTTCTATGTGACAATGTCAATGAATTTTAGCTCATAGTACATTGATATTCGAACAAATAAAGAGTTCGCCCGCGATAAATGATCTGAAAATTACATAGTTTATATTACTATGGAAACCAAACAAAATACAGAACAAATGGAAATAAAATAGCACGTACTAAATTAATAATTTGCTGCATGTATCGGGGACATCTCTAGGTGCTTAAGATATTCATTATTGCAATTGTCTTGATTGAAGAAAAGTTGATTCCTGTATAGTTTTTATACATGCATATTAAGTTTTGTCTGTTAAATAAAATTAATGATATAATCACTGAAAGTATATAATATTTGTTTTTCATAAATATGAACAATAATAAAGTAACATAACTATAAGAATTCATTTTTAATGACAATATAAAATTTAGCAAATTAGTTCTCGAGATTATACACGTACATGTATAGTAATACTAAAAATATTTATCCAAACGTGTAAACCGGGGGTTGTTTTTTATGTATTTATTTATGTCTTATCTAATTATTTACTTTTTTTCTAATTTTTTATTGATTTTATTTATTTATTTATTTATTTATGTATTTATTTATTTATTTATTTATTTTATTTATTTATATATTTATTCATTTATTTATTGATTGATTTATTTATTTATTTATTTATTTGCTCTTTCTTATTTTACTTTTTCCAGTTAAAAGTATCTCAGTGAGATTACAATGCGAGTAAGGCATCCATTATACATATGGATATTAGTATCTGATACTAAAAAAAATCAAGAAATCAATTCAAAAATGTAATTATAGTCACTTCAATATTAAATTTCGCGAGTTTAGGAACGAGTGTCAGATAGAGCAATAGAAAGCACAGTAGGATCTAGGATTTTAATTGTTTATGTGACAAGTCAGGTACGAGGTTGTAGAGTTGTCTTAGCAGGTACCAGAGCGACCAAATAAGGCGTTCTTGTGGTTATCTATCTCCTTGTGATAGGCGCAGAATGAATTCCTGATCGCAGCATGAAATATAACAAATATAGGTGTAAATAAAACAATACGATTGTTTCAAGTATAACAAATTTGTAATATTTTTCCAGACTTAATCAGCCACATGGTATTGTATCATAGCATGTAGTGTAACATTAAAATCTGTGAACTTATCAATTACGAATGTGAGATGTTTCGATATACCATGCAAATATTATAGCTTGTCACAGCATCATACCTACCTATTTGACACACTGGTGTTATTTCTCTAATTTTAACATGTACACATGATGTGGAAATTTGTTTATGAAAGCTTTATCTTTATAATGATTAGTTAAATAGTTTCCCGATATTCATTATATGTAAATAGCCGAAAGCTATATATTGACTCGCAGCACATGTGGCCAGTTTTTTCTGCAACATTTAACATATTAAATAATTGATAACATTTGTTTTTAATATGTACAAATGTACTTTAAACAGATATCGATGATTTACCGTTTTTGATCGTCTGCCCTCCAGACGGAGATACCGAGCACGTGCCAGTCATCCGGGTACGAGCCACTGATCAGCACGGTACCAATCTTCTCATAATGCACCGTTAGAGATTTGGCATCACCTATGTCGGTCCTACTCAAGAACGTTTTACTGATGACCTCATTCCGTAGATGTAGCTCATTTTTACTTAAATAATGACAAGTTTATCAATGAATTATTATACAGTTATGATATGGAATATTTTAAGTTTATGACATAAGCTACGAGTATAATGAGATAAATTATATACATCATGCATAAGAAATGCATATATATTTTTAATTCTTTAGAAATGTCAAACATGTGAGTTATAATGTTCCTTAATGGATTAAGTACATGTTAGATGTTTAAAAAAAGTAGTGCTGAATATGCAGTTATGTGTCACAAAGGTAGCAAAATGTAAACAAAGTAGTAGATCTATTTTGACTTCCATACAAAAAAGTAATTCACTATAATTATACAAAAACTTTTGGAAACTGTAATACGCTCGTATGATACTAAAAATAAACAGAAAAATGATTGCATTTCTTACTCTTAATGGGCATTTAGAAATGTTATGAGTTAACACAAACAAGTATAATGATTTTTTTACTTCATGATAATTACAGATTATAACATAATATAACGTACGTTGATAACGTAAAACATTCGACAGATGTTGCATAAATGTTACATGTTGATGACAAAAGACATAATTTGTTTATGACATATGGCAGCATACGTTTATGACGTCAATACTACATGTATATGTGTATTATGTAAGAGTATTATGTAAGGTATAATGCGTTTATGTCATGGTCATGAGGTAAAAAGGCTTTATGACATATGTTTGATTTTAAAAAAGCTATTTAAGCACAAAACTCGGACAAGTTAGTAAAGGAAAAGAGAGATTTTTCTTCCGTAAAACTTTAATCATAATTTCAAGAATTTTTAAAATATTAAAACGCTGACCTCATTAAGGGTTTTGGTCCTATTGTTCCATTTACTCCCTCCAGTGTTATTGTAATTATACCATCAAAGTTGTTTATAGTACTAATGTTGAGTTGATACACATAATCTATATAATATATAATAAACTATATACATGTATATACTTAAACAATAAAATAGAACTAAAACTGCAATACTAGTATTCCTTGCTAAAATATCCCCGAACGCATATCGATTCTTTATTTCATTTCAAATTATTATTTGTGACTAAATTTTCAGCCATATTGCAAAGTTTAAAATGATTCTGTCAAAAAGATATTTTGCTATGTGTCAATGTGTAAACATACTGTATTTTCTTTAAAAACAAGGGCATACAAATCTATCATTTCCCTTTAGCAACTATAGAATAAAATCTGTCGCAAAAGATTTCAGCAAATATTGCACTATGATAGGGATATAAACTAACAAATACAAATTTTAAATCAAATAAGATGTTGCTGAGTTTTCTACCCTTCATATAATCCAAGAGAACAACAAAAAAACTCGAATTCAGGGGGGAAAGACTCTAAAAGTAGGACAGTCACCCCCATTTTTTAGGATTCTCTTTAATCATGCAAATTTTAAATAAATTTTCACTGGTAAATGTGTCTTGCCTTTGTAAGAAAAAAGTACTGAAAATTCCAATTAGGAGCCTAATATCTAAGCACCAATACTTTTTGAGGTATGCCCCAGACAAACAAAATTTGACATACAAGTTTACCCACCTTACAAAATCGGCTTGCAGGAGTATATTAAATGTATGAAGACTTATGCGTAGACCTAGAATAATTAGTGGCGACGCCGGTGAGCGGCGTCGTCTTTTATGGAACGCTTTTTATTTTGGCCTATGGAAGGAGCTGTTATTATTAGCAGTTAATGTCATGTTGTGTTAATTAGTTTTATTTTGATTCGTAAAAATCAAGTAAACAAATATGTTGTTATATTTGTATTTAATAACTTTATGTAAAAAGCATGTGCATTGTGATATTATTTTCAGGAAATTGCAGGCTAAGTTTAACAGCTTGTCCCTTAGTTTTATTGACAATACTAAAACCCGGATTTCGAATATCGTTGTGGTCTACATTGATGCCGTATCCATTCATCATTCATTTATATATTTTCAAAATTTTCCTACAAGAGGAAAGTTCACCTGCAAATGAGTATAAGGATAGGTAATTAACTGTTGTTAACGATTATCCTATTGATTTTATCCATGTTACGTTTATCTGTTGCACAGAATGGTTGTTTTTACAAAGTGTACCAGTATCCGGATGTTGAAAGCTATCCGATTTTCTGCAATTACTGCTGTCACATGGCCAACTATTTTTTATGAATACTTTACCATCAATTTGCATGGCTTATTAAAACTGAGGCTGCAACATTTCATAATTTTGCTGTTTAGGGTGTTCTCTTGTGTTTCAGGTTTTCTTTATTTTAAGGGGAAGTAACTCATATTTACTAAATTATTTGTTTTTTTTTCTGTCTATCTTAGGTATTACTTACTAAAATTTACCAGTTGTAAGGTCATCAAAAGCATGTTAATGTAAGGATTTCATATTTATTTAATAGAACTGTAAATTATTAATGTTATGTGCATCTTAGTATATTGATATGATGAGACTTATAACATTTCTGAATTTAAAGAGTTACAGTTATGTCATTATTATTAAAGGGATGAAAATTCATTTAAAGTTATAAATGATAATACATGTATTGATTGAAAATGTCCTTAAACTTGGATAAAGCAATATAATTAATAAAGTCACCAAAAAATCATATTCTGAATAGTTATTCTAACTTTTTTCTAACATGTGCATAGTTTGAAAAGGACAGCTTCTGTCTAATCTGTTTGTAATGGAGGGACACCAGTCTCAACCTCCAGGTCTCCTGAGTCAACCCAACAACAGACTTTTCATAGAGTAGATTGTTTCTTGCCTTGAATAAATTTGTGCACTAAATTTTATAGTGGGTGATTTGTGCCACATGAAAACCAACATAGTACAAAAAGTAACCGGTCGCCAGATGAAAACATGAAAATACAATCTACCACAAAGTTGTTCGTTTTTTGCATTTTCATGTTTTCGCCCGGTGCATAAAATTTCTTATCATAGACAAAAGGTTAGTTTTTTATTATCACACTGTGTTTATCATAATGTGTTTATCTGTGACGATAACTTGTATGAAATATATTATTTAAAATGTACATGCCATTATAGAATTTGTCGTATGATACAATATAAATGATGGCGTCAGACTTAAGTGGATTGACCACAACTATTGAAGTATTATTGCTTTATAATTAAGTATTCTGCACTAGTAACATTGTAATGCATGTACTAGTATTAAAATAATGCCTATTAGGTTGATACACATGTACATTGTGAATATATTTAGACCTGTTCCAAGTACGTCCTTAAACATTGATACAAACCCTTAATTCAGTCAATAAAGTCTTCTTTGAGTTCACAGGGGAGTTAATCAGGATTCAAAATTCTTCTACAATGATTAATCTCGCTTGTAGTTTGCGAACACTTTAAGAACTAAATTACAAATTCATCAATTTAACACATGTACATGATTTCTGTAAGCTTGACGATACTTAACCTTCTTGACATATTAGAATAATGAATGTATGTGATGAGTTACATTTCTATCGTGCTACGAATATAGGCCATATTTTTTATCATGTGGCTAAACTTGATATAAAGTAAAGATTGACCCCGGGTTCTTCTTAAAGTTAAATAAAATACATATCTAATGTGAGAGTGACACGTGACTGTCATTATTTAAAATAATTTGTTTTAATGTAATATCTAACACACCACAAAATGTTGAGCTAGATTCTGTCTCAAGGTAAAGTTTCCCACGTGCATCAAACTGGTCGGCATGGTAACCCATCCTTGAGCATCCGTCATTTTTACACCTCACGCAATGCCCATTGTGGAAGTCGTCTGCACTGGGACACACGAAGGCAGTGAATGGACATGGAGAGTTGATAGATTCTGTGAAGTAGTAGTACGAGCGTTCGTGACTACATGCCAGTGCTTCCTCCTCGGCTGAAAGAATTACCCGGATGTAAAATTAAAAACAACGCTTATATCGAAGATATACATTTGTAGCCTTGGTCTGTAAAATCAGTGACAGAAACATGGTAAACAATGCCAAAGAATACTTTGTTCTAAGTTGAAAATATTGCAACTGTTAGGCAGGTTGGTCCCATGATCAGTCCAACATACAGTTGATCATTTAACCTGCAAGTCAGACCCTATAGTGTGAGATGACCAGCCTTGATATCTACAAAACTGATACTGGATAGTTCCAGTGAAATGTAAGCTGGACAAATCCATGTAATAAATTCAGCATGTAATGGGTAAACCAATAATTTTAGCTTGATAAATGAAAAAAGCTGTTACATTTTCTCAGTAAAGATATCCAAATATTTGATAACTACCATAATAATTAAACAGTGAAGTTATAGCAGTCCAGCTTGTTGCGCCAAGTTTATCAACAGCGTCGGCCGAGCAGCCTGGTTGACGTTCTCCACCATTAGGGTAAAAGTCAACATGGCCCATTTCTTGTGTAGCACCAAAACCAATGTTCTTAATACCGCCGCCGTCTGTGTGAATGACGTCAACAAAATCTGCGTCGCTTGGGTCCAGACGAACTTTTATATCCATGTTTTCAAAATAAGGACTAGCCGGGTCAAGCCCTGTAAATTTTTATTTTGATAGAATTATATTGCATATAAGATACAAATACACAGATACATTTCAATACAATACCTCCTTTATATGCTTAACATGTGTTTAAATACGAAACATAATTATGCATTATGTTTTTGTGCCCCCACGTTAGTGGCGGGCATTTAGATTTACCCTTGTCCGTCCGTCCTTCCGTCCGTCCGTCCGTCCGTTCACTTTTGTGTCGCACGTAACTCAAAAAGTATTTGACCTAGAGTCATGAAACTTTACAGGAATGTTGATCAGCATGTGTAGTTGTGCACCTGGGTATTTTCATCTGGATATTTTTAGTATTTTCAGAGTTATTGCCCTTGACTTAGTAAAATTTTGCAATTTTCAACTTGTGTCGCATGTAACTCAAAAAGTATTTGACCTAGAGTCATGAAACTTTACAGGAATGTTGATCAGCATGTGTTGTTGTGCACCTAGGTATTTTCTTGTGGATTTATTTAGTATTTTCAGAGTTATTGCCCTTGACTTAGTAAAATTTTGCAATTTTCAACTTGTGTCGCATGTAACTCAAAAAGTATTTGACCTAGAGTCATGAAACTTTACAGGAATGATGATCAGCATGTTAGTTGTGCACCTGGGTATTTTCGTGTGGATATTTTTAGTATTTTCAGAGTTATTGCCCTTGACTTAGTAAAATTTTGCAATTTTCAACTTGTGTCGCACGTTACTCAAAAAGTATTTAACCTAGAGTCATGAAATCTTAACAGGAATGTTGATCAGCATGTTTAGTTGTGCACCTGGGTATTTTCGTGTGGATTTATTTAGTATTTTCAGAGTTATTGCCCTTGACTTAGTAAAATTTTGCAATTTTCAACTTGTGTCGCATGTAACTCAAAAAGTATTTGACCTAGAGTCATGAAACTTTACAGGAATGTTGATCAGCATGTTTAGTTGTGCACCTGGGTATTTTAGTGTGGATATTTTTAGTATTTTCAGAGTTATTGCCCTTGACTTAGTAAAATTTTGCAATTTTCAACTTGTGTCGCACGTTACTCAAAAAGTATTTAACCTAGAGTCATGAATCTTAACAGGAATGTTGATCAGCATGTTTAGTTGTGCACCTGGGTATTTTCGTGTGGATATTTTTAGTATTTTCGAAGTTATTGCCCTTGACTTAGTAAAATTTTGCAATTTTCAACATGTGTCGCACGTAACTCAAAAAGTATTTGACCTAGAGTCATGTAACTTTACAGGAATGTTAATCAGCATGTTCAGTTGTGCACCAGGTATTTTCGTCTGGATTTATTTAGTATTTTTAGAGTTATTGCCCTTCACTTAGAAAATTTTTGCAATTTTCAACTTGTGTCGCAAGTTACTCAAAAAGGATTTGTCATAGTCATTAAACCTTATGGGCAGGTTGCTCAGCATATTTAGATTTGCACCTGGGGTTTCGCTTGTGGATTTATCCAGTATTTGTAGAGTTATTTCCCTTGACTTAGTAAAAAGATTGACAGAACAGTGGCGCGGTGGGGGCACCCGTGTCCCATGGACACATTTCTAGTTTTACATTGTCACATTTTTTATTCTTTTTTTTTTTCAAAATGTTCCAAATTCAAAGTCGAGTAAACAAATAATTTAGTAAGTTAAGAGCTTAAGAATTATATAATTTGACGAACCATTCATTTCAGCTTTTTTTTTTTTTTTTTGGGGGGGGGGGGTTATTTAAATATAGGTAAAATATATTTATATCGTACATTATGTAGAAAAACGACAGGTTTGTTGTATGACAACCTACTACGAATCTTATTGTCGTATCTAATTTGAAACCGTGACACATGTGTTTTGAAATAAAAAAAAAGGATAGTGAAAAAAATTCGAGAACAAAAAAAAATCCATTTTACTTTCAAAAAAAATATTTCTTTTCTATCTTTGGGAATCACTTATGTTCTGAGTGCTAAAGAACAACCTATTTGTACTAAGCAAGATGGAAGTCTCTGTTATTAGTGAGAATGTTCTATGTTTGATACTGTACTTTTGGCATTGAAAGTCAAGTGTGAGAAAAAATAACATCAAATTTGCATCAAGATCAGCAGCAAATTGAATAAACAATTTAACCAAGCGATTACCATCGTAATCAGAATAACTACATTTATTTCTCACCCTGAACATGTTTAAACCGGAAGTGAGCCTGCCAAGTCTTGCTAGGCTCTATACCGTTGGTACATTTTTTTTTCTTTTTGAAATATAAAGCTGTTCGAAATTCAAAGTCGAGTAAACTAAGACATGTAATTTAGAAAATTAAGGGCTAATACAGCATATGCTTTCATGCTTTACTGCAAATCAATAAAATTTGAAGAAACATTCATTGATTTTCATATTGCTCTGATATTGTTATCAGCTGAGGTGATCTTTTTGTCGTATTTTTTTTTTTTTTTTTGGGGGGGGGGGGAGAAATGGGGGCAGGGTGTTAACAAACTAACCGGCCATTGTATAGTACGGCAAATTTAACACCTATGTATAGGACATTCACAGCATAATTAGAACTGAAAATCTGCATCATCATCCATCTTACCTGAGATTCTAGCAAGGTGACTTATTCTCTCCCCGGCATACCCAGCAACGTGTGCTCCTAAACTGTGTCCGATAATGTGGAACATTGCCGAGGTGGAGCTATAGCCCTTTATAAGCTTGTTGACGAGTTGGGCTAGCTGGGCTCCAACCACTCGTGTGTTAGCAGTAGCCTTCTCGTATGGTAACACTGCTCCGTTATGCCAGTCCACGGTAATCACGTTGAAGTCACCCTTGATTATGACATAAAATAAAATGTAAAACATAATACTGATATTAAACGATAATTAAAGTGAATTATAATGTTGTGTGTTCTTCATCCATTTCCTAAAGATTGCCAAAATTATATACTGTGAAATAATTCAATTTCGTGGGCATGAAATTTCGTCTTTTTATTTCGTTGGTTCTTAATGCTGTCAATTGTTTGCTTTTGCAAAATAGAAAAATGAAAATAATGCAATGCAAAATAATCTTACAGCAGTAGAAATTAAGTTTCGTTAGATTTTAAATTCGTTGATTGGCCTATCCACGATAAACAAGAAACCAGTCATCCAAGAATGATACTGATATTAAAACTTTTAAAGTAAAATTTCGCACGATGTACATAGTCTTTATACTAGAGATCTTTTACTCCTAGTTATGATTTTTGGAAGCTAATTATTCAATTAAACACACAGTTTGTTTTTTTTGCTTTTTTTTTTTTTCTCTTTTTTTTTCTGTTTTTGCCAAGGAGCCAGGGCTGTGTTCAATATCAGTACACCAACTGTTGTTCGAGAAAGAGATAGCATGTTATATTTCTGAGTCATAAATTTACGAGTTGCGACGTGGTGAGTGATTTACGCATCTGACTAGTAATCTAAGGATTGCTAGTCATTTGTGTTCAAACCCCGTCTGGGACAAGCCGTTGTTTTCTTGAGCAAGAAACTTGTACCTCATTGTTTACTAATGATTGGTTCCAGGAACGGATTTGAGAGTTCTTCAATAAGCTTATCGTTTCCAACACAATCGAACTAAGGTTGAAAAAATTTAAACTAATCATAGATCAGAGATATTTCTCAGATTTTTCTCACCGCGATTAGAAGTTCCTTGGTCATATCAAGAATCCATGTTCTGTGGGCATTATGGGTAAAACCGTGCACGATAATTTTTGTTGGTTTTGACCCATCAAAATTTGAACTTTGTATTGTCGTGTCAGCGTGCGGGTCAAGTGCTTGCTCCTGTGCCATGGTAGGATTGGCCCTGAATTGAAAACAATTGTCATTAAGGTTTTTATTTCAATTTATTTATAAATTATTTAATTTCTTCAACTGTATTTCAATCTTTATGGTACCGGTATACTCTACTTATTTTACAGAGTTAACTTCTGCAATCAATTTTTGGAATCATTTCTAACGTAATCATGTTGCTTATATGTCTGTGGTTCCTTCACAGACCAGTCTTCATTCATGCTCAAACTTTAAAATGCCATATCATTCAAGATATACTTTACGAGTTTAATTACACATTTATGCCAATTTATAGATAAAACATTAAATGCTGTAACCTAGCAAAATTATCATTTTTTATAGTAACAGATAATATTCTTTTCACGATTGAACAGAGTGTTAAAGATGTCATATACCGCGTATACAGCAAAAATCGCGTGCCTATCTTTGCAGGTGATTCTGGGGCTACTGATAATGGTCGATGCAAAAGGTCAAGGAATGGTATCCCATTATTGAAACATCCGAGATCCCCGTAACATACTGTATGTGGTAGATGGTTTGTAATGACGTCAAACAAAAAGCCTGAAATATATATTCAATACGTAGTAAGCTATGAAAATAGGGAACATTGTTAACACAGTTTCATATTGATAGTTGAAGTTCCGAAACTAAGGATACATTTGCACACTTGTTCTATTTCACTGTTATCAAAATCTTCCAAATATAGAAGTCACTTCTACACTGAGTGTGGCAATCAACAGACAATCCTGATCATGATCTTTATATAGTAATGTTTGTTATCAGAAGATATATGCCTAGTTGTGTATTAAAAGGGCAGCCTAGTACAAAAGACCTTAATTTTGCCTTATGACTTGTAGTCCTCCATTAGTGTAAATGCCAAACATTAAACTTACGGAGGCTTACAATCGTCTATTGAAGTGAAGCATTGACAAATAAGTTAATTTTCTTATTCCTTTTCTAATGTTCTAATGCGTTTTATTTTGTGTTTTTTTTAAAGTTCCGCAGTTACAATAAAAGTCATAAAATGGCGACTTTCTATGTTTTAATGGTGGTTTTCACCGCATTTTACCCGGCACGAGTAGACATCCGGTACAACCAACCGATCTTCTGTACCAAGCTTGATAGCTCATCACTTGATATAATATGACTTTTCAGACGTACTCTTCAGTATATTGTAATAATTTATTATAATTATCAATGTTGAAAATATTTATGCCATCGTGCTAGGACTGAAAAAGCAGTCAAAACGCTGTATGTGTAATGTTGAAAATATTTATGCCATCGTGCTAGGACTGAAAAAGCAGTCAAAACGCTGTATGTGTCATGTTGAAAATATTTATGCCATCGTGCTAGGACTGAAAAAGCAGTCAAAACGCTGTATGTGTCATGTTGAAAATATTTATGCCATCGTGCTAGGACTGAAAAAGCAGTCAAAACGCTGTATGTGTCATGTTGAAAATATTTATGCCATCGTGCTAGGACTGAAAAAGCAGTCAAAACGCTGTATGTGTCATGTTGAAAATATTTATGCCATCGTGCTAGGACTGAAAAAGCAGTCAAAACGCTGTATGTGTCATGTTGAAAATATTTATGCCATCGTGCTAGGACTGAAAAAGCAGTCAAAACGCTGTATGTGTCATACAGCGTTTTGACTGCTTTTTTAGTCCATACAGCATTTTGACTGCTTTTTTAGTCCTAGCACGATGGCATAAATATTTTCAACATTGATAATAACAATATAGGTTGTATTTTATGTGTATTTCAAAAAAATAGCGTAATTAACCTTCCTAAAAATGATCTGTTCCTAAAAATGATCTGTTTTAGATTATTAAACATTAAATGCAAAATGATTTTCACGTTGACTATTTGGCCGAAATATTGTCACACCGTAGTTAGTTTTGAAACCAAAAGTAAGACTAAAAGAAATCAAACAATTATGATAATTCAAAGTTACTTACCATTGGCGGAGTTTAATAGAACGGCAAAAGACAGAAAGAAATTCAACTTAGTGTCCATCTTGTAAATTTGGTCGCAGACTTCTAAATGATAAGACATATATAGAAGTCACATACCAATCTATGGAGATAAAATACTAGTCTCACGTAATTTACCGACTTAAACAAACCTTGAGACATAGCAAAACCGTCCTAAAGTATAATCACGTTTAACGAGGATGATCACTTTTCGGAGTATAAAATTATCTATTTGCAAGTGAGCGTCTTCTTTGACGAACGGTGCCCTTTTTTTCTTACAAAATATTTACAGTACGTTTTGATTATTGTGACTTTTACCCATACAGCTGTAGATAGGTTACTATCTATAAATCAAGATTTAACATATGAATATAAAAATAATATCCATCTGTCCGTACGTTTGTACATTTTTTCGTATCCGATCTGTTGAAGCAGTATGCCACCAGATTCATGCTAATTTTCATGAAAATTTTGAAAATGTATTTAAAAGGTAAATGAACAAAGTAATCAACACATTGAAATCGGCACTTACAATCAACGTAAATTACCAAAAACAAGAAGTGGAACTGGAAACGGACAAATTCCCCCAAACACGGTCCAGTAGAGGAACACGACCTTCGACTTGCATCAATGCACGGTTACTAACATTAACAAAACATTTTATTCTTATTTCAAAAGTCATCCGTGAATGAATCCTAAGATATGACCAAACACCAGCGTCCAATACATTTATGTATAATATTTTTACCATGCAGGAATGACAGAATTGTTGACCAGGCACGAACGTCAGTTTACTTTTTATCATGACTTTTGATCTACAAGCGTGTCCTTGACCTTTGAGGAAGGGGCCGGATTCTTGCGCGCGACACGTCATTGGGTCCAGCACATTTATACATATTTTTTAATCCATCTATCAATGACAGAATTGTTGATCGGACATGACATCAGTGCAGTCTTACAAATATTTCTTTGCCTCTAAAGTCAGTGTGACCTTGGCGATCGAGCTTCAGACCAAGATGGTGTTGCACCAATGTGCTACACATTTATACAAAAATATTTAAAATCCTTCCATAAATGACAAAGTTATTGACTGGACAGTTCGGACGGACGGATGCTACAAAAAGAAAAGTTCCCTATTTCGGAAAGCATACAAAAAGTGTAAAACTATGTAAAAATAACAAGTACCGAGTTAGTCACGCAGTAGAAATATGATGAATACTGTAAACAAGAGCTGTCACAGGAGACAGCGAAGCTCGACTAATAAAATACTGGACGCAGTAAGGAGGACAAAACTATGAAAGAAAAATCCATTATGTATAATTATGTATTAAGTTATAGAAAAAAAATAACATTTGTTAACATTAATTCCAAGATCAAGGGGAATAATTCTAGAAATAGTCATGCTAGAGTTATGGACCTTGTCACACAACATTTGTGTAATGATAAGAAATATATATTTGAAGTTTGAAGTAGATACCTTAAAAAGTAAAGAAGTTATTATATTTCTTAAAGAAAATCCTAAGTTCAAAGACAGATAAATCTGTAAATATTGCTTCAAGAGTTATGAACATTGTCACATAAAATGTAATTGATCATAAGGAATAAGTATTTGAAGTTTGAGGTAGATACCTTTAAAAATAAAAAAGTTATAATAAAAAATAACATTTTTCTAGTAAAAAAATCTAAGTTTATGGAGAGATAATTCTTGCAAAATTGGTGCTAGAGTTATGAACCTTGTCACATAAGATGTGGATGATGATAACGTATATATATATTTGAAGTATGAAGTTGATCCCTTTAGAAATAAATAAGTAACAGTGAAAAATATATTTTTTATGGAAAATTCTAAGTTCAAAGGGGAGATAAATCTGAAAATATTGGTGCTAGAGTTATGAACCTTGTCACATAAGATGGGGATGATGATAACGTAAATATATTTGAAGTATGAGGTTGATCCCTTAAGAAATAAAGAAGAAACAGTAAGAAATAGTATTTTTTGAGGACAATTCTAAGTTCAAGGGGAGATAAATCTGAAAATATTGGTGCTAGAGTTATAAACCTTGTCGCATAATATGGGGTTGGTGATAAGGAACATATGTTTGAAGTTTCAAGTCGATACCTTTTGAAATAAAAAACATATTTTTAAGGAAAATTCAAGTTCAAGGGGAGATAAATCTGAAAATAGTGTTGTTATATTTATTAACCTTGTCACATAAGATGTGGTTGATGATAAGGAACATGAATTTGAAGTTTGAAGTTGATACCTTAAGAAATAAAGAATTTATAGTGAAAAACATTTTACTGCACCAAAACTTTAATCTAAAATCTGGACGCGGATGCCGGGGCGAGTAGGACAGCTCTCCATATACTTCGTATAGTTGAGCTAAAAATGTGATTAATTGCACATAACATGTAAATTATTACTTTAATCTTTTTACTTTCTTAAAATCTTAGTGCATTTTTCTCTCAAGTTTGACTTTCTTGAAATAAATTGATTCATCTGGAGACATGCAACTTTTAACATTTAAATTGTTGGAAGTTTTTAATAACTTGGCACAATAATAGTAGAGCGCAACATCCAGGTCAATATCACTGTTAAAGGTCAAATGTGAAGTCCAAAGGTTGTGTCTGCCGAGTTGGTTCATATCTTTTGGACTAATGGGAATATTTAAATTAATTTAAAAAGCACCATGTGCATAGCGCAGGAGTTTACTTCCCGGGTCAAGGGTGGTAAATGTTATACCCACATTATTGTCCTGTGCAGCAGGGTATATGGATGTTCGTTAAACTCGAATATTACAGAAGACCCCATGTGACGCTCTCATTGGACAATCATTTTAGGTCTTATACTATTTTTATATACAAACGTCTTGTTAATCCCATCGCACGAAGATTATGCTAAAGTATTCCTTTCTTTGATTGCCCGTAACATTCTAATACCACTTTTACTTGCTTACATTTTTATCATAGCAAGACTATGAAAGAACCTTTCATTTAACCATTCTACAAATAAACTCGGGGAAAATATAAATGTAACTACAATGGGGATAAATCTAATAATCCTTTTTTGATTGAGAAGAAAACACTATTACCGGACAACTTGCTATATATAATTAATATAGGTAAGAAAACCATGTCATTTTAAAATATTTATTGCTGCTGTTTTTTTATCTGTATAGATATATTAACAATAAATGTCTAAATTCATTATTTTAATTTAATTTTAAGTCAAGATGTTTATCATATAATTCTAAATATAAATTATACTCGTGCAAAAAAACTAAGGACTCTATTACAAACACTAGCAATACGGGCACTTGCAAGTTTGAATAAAATTCAAACAAAATACAGTTTTGAAGTAAACGGACAGGTTACATTAATATATGCAAATGACTTGATATTGCCAAAAGTCTGAACCGCCTCTCTAAATCTATTGCTTTTATACATTTACAATTTTTTTCAGTACCAATGTTTTTTCATATTAGTTTTTCAGTACCAATGTTTCATTTCTAAATTAAAAATTGTGCAAATCAAAAGCACAAAAGTAAATGATAATCAAGTTTTAATAATATGGAGATAAACACATGCGCTTTTATAATGATGCTGGTAGCTGGTATAATTATCCACAAAATGTTAAAATTGGACGGACTTAAAACAAGCTTTACCAAAAATACTTAACAATTATTCAAACGAATTGTGATTTTTTTACAAAGGAAATTATGCTTATTTAACATCACATACTTGATTATAACATCAATAATAAAGCCAATTATTGGCAATAGCATCAATATTAATCTTCACATTTTTTAGTTTGTATAAATAGAACCACACTACTTAAACCTGATATGGATAGAGTCCATTATTTCTGACAGGACACTCCTACAGTTTAACATAGGCACATTCATTCAAAATAGATTTCCCAAAAACATATACAACTAGAAATGTGTCCATAGGACACAACAGGGATGCCCCCACACGCCACTGTTTGACAGTCTACTGATGTACAGCAGGACAGTATGACAGAGAAATGAATTTCTACATTATTTCTTCTACGCCAAGGTAGTTGGGGCATAAAAATGACATATAATTTTTCCAATGTTGACACCTTGATTTATCCCAGTATTAAGAATTTAAATCTCAATTTTATCTCCTAAAGTACGCTTCTAAGAAAAAATCAAGGAATACCCCAGATGAACAGCTTTACATGCTGATCAACATTCCTGTTTGTTGATTCTAGCTCAAGCACTTTGAAGGGTACATGTGACACAACATTTTGTAATGGATTTTACTAAATTAAGGGCAATTACTCTTCAAATCTGAATAAATATACAAACAAACCCCCAAGATGAACAACGACACATGCCGACTAATTTTTCTGTACAGTTTCAAGACTCCAGGTTAAATATCTTTTTTAGATCTTAGTGCCATACAAGTTGAAAATCCAAAATTTGCAGGACGAACAAGGGCAAATCTAAATACCCCCACTAGAGTGTGGGCATAAAAAAGCTCGAGGCATGACACAAGTTGATAACAAAAAAAAGTTAACCTATTAGTTCAATATAAATCACCATTCATAATAAAACTTGGGGTTGACAATAGTTACATTACAAGCAATTTCAATTGTGATCTACCCACAGCTATCTTGTACATGTACCTTTATCATGAATTTTTCATTTAGGAATCTTACAAAATTAAGTGTGCTTTATACACCTGCAAGCAGACCAGTTACAGGTAGGTACACAAATGCTAACAATCATAGTAATATTTTGATATTCAGTCCTGTATTTGAATTTTTCCCATACATATGTAAAACAACTACCTGGCTACATATAAAGGTTAATTACCCACTGTGAACTTGCCTTTCGAGATAGGGACATTATTGTGTGCCTTGCCTTTGTGATAAATCATTGTGAAACTGACTTGAAATTTTTAACAACCTACCATAATAATATTGAGAGGCTTTATTGAGCATATTAACAAGAAAACAATACTGTAAGAGATTGGGAATTTTGCCCAATGAAATGACCCGTTAACAGTAAATGCAATATACAACAATATGACTGTTACTCACAGTTAAAATATACAAGGTCAGTCTACCACCTAAAACATATAATGTGTATTATTTCAATGGCATGCACATTTAGGTTCAAAGATAAAAATTATGATCTTAGTAGTTAGTAACTTCAAACAGGTCTTTGCATTAAATAAACAAGTATGTGAAGTTCTCCAAGTTTCTACAAACAGGACCTCATAAATTTTGCTAAAACTTTCAAATATATACCCTTCAAACAGCAGCCAGAGATTCCACACATTATAAACATCAGAATTTTCAAAATACAACTTTGATCTCTCAACTTTAAATTATTCACAAAGCACTTAATACTAGCTTATAAAGAATAGTAACAGTGTATCAAATAAACAACAACAACAAAATTCTGCATATAGATTCAACAAAAACTTTTTGATATAATTCAATTAACAGTCTCGTCTGCCAACCAAATTCAAGTCTTTATGTATAATTTTCAATCAATATCCACTTGTTATTAACTTCATTGTGAACCACCAATCTTTATAAAGTTAAACACAACCCTCTGTACAGGTGAAATAAGACTTGAGTTGCATAGACTAAAGTCTATTGCTGACTTATCAGGTTTTATTATCCACAGACTCTTCCCCGTCAACTCGTGCGCGTTTCTCTGCCTGTACTTCATCCGACACTGACGAATCTAGATTGTCAAAATCTCTTTTTAAGTTTTGTGAAGATTTATTTAGCACAATAATTATACAGGTCATGTTGTCACATCCCGTACCATCACCCATAGTGTTTGGAGCTAGACAAAATTCAAACAGCTGAAAAATAAAAATGCAATATTTGTTTAAATTAATTGACCGATACATAAATCTTATGATGGAAAAGATGTTCGAAAGTAAGATCAAAACATGTTTTTTGGTCATTTTTTTAGGCGCACTGAAACTGTAAATGTCATATTGCCATTTATCAGTCATAGTAATATATGATATCAAGATCAGTGATGCCTTTTAAATCACTATTTCAGGCACCAGACAGCACCATAGTGAACAAACAGACTTTCAATTATCTGCCTCACATGAAGGAATTGAAAGCCCCATGCTGGATTTGAACTAAATGTGGTGAGAAATGATCTGATGTAAACAACAATTGCTTTTAACCACAGGGGCTAATTTGTGTTGCACTGACCTGTTCAAATTACCCCTTGAAGGCAGAATATTCAATTGTAAGACAGTACTGTTGAAAAAATTCATCCAGATTTCTTATCGCATGTTGTGAAGGTTAAGTTACTTGAGAAAGCACATGGTAGTAGTATTACTTGAGTGAACTTTGCCAGCAGGTAAACAATATTTATATAATCTGGCATTAAACCTGAAGAAAAACAAAAATGTATAGTGGACCTCTAGACAACTCTATCACCTTAAACTATCATTGTATATACATTATTCAGCTACATGCGATAAACTTCAAGATTTAACAAGTCACATTACCTCTTCACATATAAGAGATGGCTTTTCTGATTTAACTGGATCCTTCAGTCTTTCTCTAACAAAATCTACTGTTTCTTGACTAGTCAGAAAGTTCCTAAAACAGCAAACAATATACATTTTGTAAAATATCACTGGTTATGACTTATGTATAACAAATATGGAAAAAAAATCTCAAAGTTAACAAATTGACTTCTGGGATTAGCATTATAATTGAATCTCTAAAATGAATACAGTTGCAGTGTTTATAGATGTACATGACCATAATACTTGCTGTCTACTGAAGAACTTTTTCATCTACCCCTCAATAGACTATGTTTCATTTTAAAAGTAATTAATTTTTTTACAAGTTTGAAGCAGAAAGTTTAACCAATGTCAATGATAAGGTAATGACAATAGCTCCACATTTTTTTTATTAAGTGGAACTAAATGCACTATTCTAAAGGAACTGATGAAAAGTACTACTTACACCTCATGCTTAAGAAAAATACAGTATAAAGTTCAGTCACTTATTTTGAACTCCTCAAAAATCTGAACACCCTTTCATAGAGTACGTAATAATTTTTCAACTTGAGTATTTGAAACACTCATTTAAACATAATAACTTTTCCAAAATGCAAAATATTATAAAAACGAGAATTAGATTCGGTTTCAGTCCCCTCTTACCATATACCATCACAGGCTATTATAATAAATTCATCTTCTGGTGTGAGTGTAGCACATTCTACATCAGGTAAGGCTGAGATCATCTGTTCTTTAGCTTCTTTTGTCTCATTTCTTTTGTACCAATGATCACCTGTAATAGTTACCACATATATCTGATGTCCTTACAATCCAAGTTCATATTTTCAAGCTCTAAGGAGACATTATTCAAGAATTAATGAGTTAAGAGTAATGTTTGTTTGTTTCATTTTACGCCTTTTCCAACAGTATTTCAGTCATATAGGCGGGTAGTTTCCTAACCATCGTCCCTGGAGAGTTACACCAGTACTAGACTACCTTCCTCCGCGCTAAACCACCAAAGTATCTCCCGTGGATCGAACCCACGCCAGAGAAGTAACTGGATTAGAAGTCATCGACTATAACCCCTCGACTGAGGAGGCAGCCCTCGACCACAGAGGCGGTCTAAGAGTAATGTAACCTGTCATATAACATGATACAGTTGATGAAGAGGAACAACTATTTGAAGTCTGATGGAAGTTAATTCAGTAATTAAGAGAGAACACAGTAAAACAACAACATAGTAACAAGAAAGCTTAAACCAGACGAGGCGAAAGAGTTATGGAAGGTAGTTCTACATATTTTATGTAAAGTAGGCTCAAAATATAAGTGTTGCGATTTTGACTAAAAGAAGCCATTTGAATAACAAACATGAGAGTTGATATTATAAATTACCAAGAGCTCTAGATAAATTAAGGCCTCCATTAACTCTCCCATCATTTGTCACCCTGCCTCCTGCAGCCTCTATTCTAATTCTCTCTCCATCATCTTCTGGTTTATGATCAAATGAAAGCTCTACAGCTTTGCCACCTTGACACATGACACATCGTGAATCTCCGGCATTAGCTACATATATCCTATCATCTCTCAAAAGAGCTAAAACAGCTGTACATCCACTGTCTGTACCTGGCTGGAAATTTACAAAGTTGTCTTATCATTTAGCCTATCCATTTAAGTCACAAATTATTCTAAGGTATCTGATTAAGACTTAAAATTGCAGTAAATTAAAGATTATCTACTATATTACATTTTGATATCTAATCATTGTATTTTTAGTAGTAAAAATCATTATTGTACTTAAATAAAGTCACAGAATCTACATAAGTTCTAGACATAATTTCTCCAGACATCAAGTCTATTGGTCATAAGTCTCTCACAGCTATTAGGAAAATCATGTGTTTAGTAGCCGGCCGTTTTCAGAGAAATCTGTACTTATTGGTAAGCTATCCAGGAAAGTCAATAAGGTGGACTGACCACTGAGACATCACCAACTAGAACTGTGTCCAAAGGACACGCATGCCCCCACTGACAACATATATATGGTATATAGTGAAAAAATCAACAAAGGGCCATAATTCTGTTAAATTTGGTCGCAGCGAAAATTCCTTCCTTTATTACCATCTACACATTAAGGTTGTTCACAGTGTTCAATCTAGAACAAATTTCCAGGGGGCCCTTCGGGCCCATAAACTTTTAAAAAGGGGGTCATTTGAGAAAAAAGGGGGCCAACACTTAAAATGAACATTTACTTCAAATAAGGTATTGTATCTTTTTAAGTTACTTGTTCATGTACCATATATAGACCAAAAACGGTTGCAAAATTCCATAATAATCAACTCAACCGGTCTCCCTAATTACCGACAAGAACCGTCAGGAACCGACAAGAAGTAAAAACTCAACTAAAAAAATGACATTATTTGGACCTTTTTCGAGAGTTCTGTTACCGTTGATGCAGACTCAATTTTTAGAACTGATTGGTAAAGAAACAATGACATAATGTTCAAAGAAACATATGAATCTTATTTAAATGTTGCCACGGATATTTGATAACAATGTTCAGTTTTTTAATCAGCGCCAGATATATAATTAAAAATAAAGGACAATCATATTTTGCAATTAGCTTATAAACTTACAATAGTCGCTAAAACCATTTACCCTTCTCAATATATTCAAGCTAAAAACAAAGTGTCAACAGGTGCTCAGAAATGTATATTGACATACCGGTACCTTTTATCTTTTGTCAGGGCAGCAGTTCTTACGTCACGCTTAAGATATCTGTATTGATTAATGACATGCACAATGTTTTAGCGCCGACCAGCCAAAGACCAATCAAAGTTTATTTACTCAATTGTCAGACACTCCCTAGCCAATCGTGTTTGATTAGCTCCATCTTTAAGACTTATTTAATTGGTTGAAGGCGTGTTCGTATCAATTTATGCACACCTTTATAATTAACTCGCACATTTTCACGTATAGTTTTTTTCTCCTGAAAGTTAACTTATTGCATATTAATTTGTTTTGACCGTTACAAACTATAACTACACGCACATATTGGATTATCTGTGACGATTTGTTTTGTTTATAAAAACTGTGACTGACAAAAGTAAGTAATAGTTACGGTACGAAGAACAGGTCTACATAGTATTTACAGACCCGACCGAGACAGCGTAGCGATCAAGGTTTTAAAAGGGTAACCGAGTGCGGTAACTTTCTTACCAACATGCTCTTGTTTTTCTTTACAAACTTCAGTTTTGAATTCAGTATTTATTAATATTATTCACAAGAAACTTTTTTATGTTTAAGAAAGCATTCTAATGTCAGTAATGGCATTTTCTCTGAGTGCGCCCGTCGGGCCCACAGCTGAATTTGTTTTGCGCCGGCGGTCTGTTCAGGGGGTCAATGGCGCAATGGCGCGCTCTAGATTGAACACTGGTTCATCCCTGGAAGTTTAAGCAAAATCTGCCATCCGGTTTAAGAGGAGTTGCGTTCACAAAATTTGGTCGCAGCAAAAATTCCTTCCTTTACTACCATCTACACATTAAGGTTGTTCATCCCCGGAAGTTTAAGCAAGATCTGCCATCCGGTTTAAGAGGAGTTGCGTTCACAAAATTTCTATATGGTATATAGTGAAAAAATCAACAAAGGGCCATAATTCTTTTAAATTTGGTCGCAGCAAAAATTCCTTCCTTTACTACCATCTACACATTAAGGTTGTTCATCCCTGGAAGTTTAACCAAAATCTGCCATCCGGTTTAAGAGTTGCGTTCATAAAATTTGGTCGCAGCAAAAAGTCCTTCCTTTACTACCATCTACACATTAAGGTTGTTCATCCCCGGAAGTTTAACCAAAATCTGCCATCCGGTTTAAGAGGAGTTGCGTTCACAAAATTTCTATATGGTATATAGTGAAAAAATCAACAAAGGGTCATAATTCTTTTAAATTTGGTCGCAGCAAAAATTCCTTCCTTTACTACCATCTACACATTAAGGTTGTTCATCCCTGGAAGTTTAAGCAAAATCTGCCATCCGGTTTAAGAGGAGTTGCGTTCACAAAATTTCTACATAGTATATAGTGAAAAAATTCAACAAAGGGCCATAATTGTATTAAATTTGGTCGCAGCGAAAATTCCTTCCTTTACTACCATCTACACATTAAGGTTGTTCATCCCTGGAAGTTTAAGCAAAATCTGCCATCCGGTTTAAGAGGAGTTTCGTTCACAAGATTTTGGGATGTACAGCCGGACGGACAAGTGCAACGCTGTATGCCCACCACTTTGTTGGGGCATAAAAATTAGCTGAAATCTGCGCTAGAACAGACATTCTATCACTATCATTATTCTAAAACAATGCACTCGCTGTTCTTATTACCTCCCTGTGTATTTTCAAACCGCCACATTGACGGCGCCATTTTGTTTGAAAAATCTGATAAATAAAAAACAATTTTTTGTCGAATTTTGTTGTGGAAACTATATAGTATGAAAGAAAATGGTCTAACTAAGAAAATGAATCCAGACGTTTATAGTTTAAGTAACATCACAATGTAGCGCCAAACAGCACATGCAAAAACAATCGAAATCAAGAACATTATTTCAATGTTGCAAACGAGTTAAATTTCACATTTACTTAATATTTCGCTTGAAAAATATAGAGTGAAATAAAATAAACAAAGTTTTATCAACGTTTTCAAAATTCGTTAGTCTCAAAATGTTTCTTCACACGGTAGATTTTTTTCAAACCACTAGAACAGCCTTTGAAGAACGTTTCTATTGGAAACTCTGAGGCGAAAACAAATTAAACCACCAAACAAAAAGTCCAACTATATAATCATTATTATATTTTTTCTTTACGTGTTAGAATGGAAATAGATATTTATTCTTTGTGCATTGTTGTATAATAATGCACATTATTTCGTTCAAATGCTTGTAATTATCGCCTTTGTGATTATATTACTATGCATTTGAACTCAAACCATATACATTATTCTACAATGCACTCAGAACTGATATCTATTTTCCTAAACGCAAGCAGCTTATTCTGTTTAAAATAATGCTAAGATACATACAATGTCTCCTTCACCAATTGGTTTGTGTGACCTGCAAGGTCTCTTATGCTCAAATTCTTTTATCAAAGAACACTTTTGCTCTAATTAATCAATATATGAGCTGCGTCACGACAAAACCAACATAATGGGTTTGCAACCAGCATGGATCCAGACCAGCCTGCGCATCCATTTCTGATCAGGATCCATGCTGTTCGCTATCAGTTTCTCTACTTGTAATAGAGTTGGTAAGCGAACAGCATGGATCCTGATCAGAATGCGCGGATCCGCAGGCTGGTCTGGAACCATGCTGATCAAACGCACTATGTTGATTTTGTCGTGACGCGGCATATCTCTTCCAAAGAATGTTGAAATCATCATAACTACGTTCACCTGGTGAAAACTTTAAATTCTACAGTAGACGTACCTCCTCTGAGTGTTCCTCTTCTTCAGTTGAACCTACTTTACTCATACCAAATATACCTCCTTCCATCCCTACTTCATCATCATCATCATCTTCATCATCGTCGTCGTCTTCATCATCACTGTAGTTTATTCAAAACATTAGAATTGATTAGCTTCATCTCAAAAGCCTTTGAAAAACTATTAATTAATGGATTTAACACACTACAGTGTTGGTGTAGTACTTCTAAGACGCTTGCAAAATCATGATCACAAAGTAGAAATATCGCAATTTTTGTTGATTCTTACATTTTTCATTCATTATCGTACATAAATTGGTCTAAACAGATGAATTAAATGTTTTAAAGTGCATTTCAGTGGGTGAGAATGCGAGACTTTAGCATTTAATCATTCAAGTGACTCGTCCGGTATAAACCGGAATCTAGGAACCTTAAAAATACCCAAAGTTTTCTCAGAGAAAAATGACTAGGAATTTAATGACTTCTCTTTATTTTTTTTTTATATATCTGACATTATAGAATTAAGACAGGGAACAATTATTATTATAAACAACAGAACAACCTGTCATCTATGTATTCATCATCATCTTCATCATCATCACTTGAATCATCATCACTATCATCTGCCTTAAATGCAACTTTTTTATTACTGGAAACACCAGATCCACCAGCCTGAAAAAAATAATAAATATCAATTATTCTTCTACTTAAATGATACCCAAGAAATAAAATTTGAAAGACAAGGATACATTTATCAGAACAATAACTACAATATATGGTTTACTGCTATCAATTTTACATTCTTGAAATCATAAAGGATTGATGTATGTGCATTTGAAAGCACTGCATTAAATAATATCTATTCCATATTAATATTTCAAATGTTTAAGACAATAACCTTAAACCATCTGGAACCAGGGGTTGTAAAATTCAACATGTCCTCTTGCAGTGTCAAAAAGACTTGGTAATTGAGCAAATTAAATTTTACAAACACTAGTCAAATAGGGCAGGTATTAAATTGAAAAGTCTCAAAAACTCAAGATTTAATGGTCTAGAAACAAACACTCACTAGCTCATGTCTATCCATGACATTCATAATCAGTACAGCATGTACTATAACACGTGTTTGCAGTAACTAGCAAACCTCAGATATTATATTAGCAGTATCTAAGACCCTGGAATCTATACAATGTCAGAACACATTATTTCTCATGATCTTACAAAAATGGAAATGTTTTTGCATTTTGATATTTAAGTCATGTTAACTGTTAATGGACTGTAGAAAACTTCTTACCTGAACACCTGACCCTGAAGGTGCAGAGCTACTTCCTCCTGCACTTGATCCTGAGCTACTACTACCAGCACATGAACTAGATGATCCAGAGGAAGAACTGCATGCAGCATCACTTGATCCTCCTGCAGACTTACCTGGCTCTGACTCACCATCCTGGCTGCTTGAATCCGAGCCTGAGGGTACTTCTTTAGTGCTAGAAGAGCCAGATGATACTTCTGATGTTGAAGAGTCACCTGATGCCTTGATTACATCTTTAGCTTTATCTGAAGTACTATCTGCTTCTTCTAATTTTACACTAGTGTAATTTTGTATATCACTTCCCTTGACCGAGTCATTACTGTCCTCACCATTTTTTATAGGTGAAAGTGTCAAAGCACAATTAGAATTATTCAAATTTTCAGACTTAACATCACCAGTACTGTCTGGTTCAGTACCAAGAGTCTCTGCCTCACGTAATTCTTTTTCTACATTGAGATTATTGTCATTGTCAGGTGTTTCTCCGTTCTCTAATTTGCCATCAAGCCTTGTTGCTAGAGGATCAGGTGCTGATGAACTTGTGGCATTGTTGTTCTTTGATTCATTGTTACCTACAGTAAATAATGACAATAGTTAATTATTTATTGCATAAACTTGGTATTTATTGCCAGTGATTTTTTTCCTAGATTTTACAGTAAAATACAGGCTGTTTGATCTTGCCTATAAAAGCAGGGTTTTCATTTTTAACCGAGGCAACAAATGTGCCAATGAAAACAACCAATATGGCTAAGGGTCTAGGGGAATATTGTAACCAACAGACTGAAAATATAATTGATTTTAACAGCATATCATATCAAACAATGATTTGGAAATATAATGAAAACCCTGAAGTGGTATCAGTTCCCTAAAATGCCACTAAGCATATTTGTCAACAGAAGAAGTATGTTTTAACAGAAGCTTAGATCAGCTTGTTAATCAATGTAATTCATTGAAAGACAAAAGGCTGTCACTATAAATTGCCTATGCTGTGTATGCAAACTAATTTGAAAATTTTATTGAATATGATGATTTCTCAGTTTTTGATAATACTTCCTCTAACATTACTTTATTTCACCAAGAACACAATCACAATTGTTCATCATTCTTTCCGTTACTAGAACATTATAATTTTGTTAGAAAAATTTGGCACTGATTCCAGTTTCCACTCGGCTCATTCAGACAAATGGCAAACAGCAGTATAAGACAGGCACATTTTAAGCATCTTCACATTTAAGAAGGAAATCTTGTCTTGTAACTAGTTGATTCAAGCCAAAGCTTTTTGGAGTTGTTTTTCTATTTAGTTAGTAACTGTATTGCATGTAACATATTTGGTCAGGGATCATTCTAGGGGGCGATTTCCGCGATTTCTCGCAAAAATATCACCAAAATCTCAGAGAAATTTGTGAAATGAGAGAAAATCTCGCACGCAATTTGAGCCAGAAAATGTCTAAACACAATGTAAGGAATGCTAAAATTACACAAAAATATGATGAAAAATTCACGATTCCCACAAGAATTTAATTTCAAATTGTTTATTAATGAAATCAGTGTAAAAAAACTCCAAAAAGTAGTCCAACACTTTGAATTATTTAGCCTAAAATAATTGCCGATCGGAGACCGCAAATTCACCGTACAGAAATACGGTATGATGACTAACCTTTATCTATCTGTAAGTCGAGAATTTACACAAAACACTTTTAATTGATTTTAATAAAAAATTTTAGACACAGACTAACATAAAAATGGACATGTCAAAAATAAATCTACCGGTAAAATTTGTCTTCTAAATGTCACATCAACCACGGTAAATTTTGCCGTAAAGTACAAATTAAAAAATTTTGTTTTACGATTCCTGATGAAATAGCTGATATAAATGTTCTTTTATTGAACAAAAATATTTAATTTTATATAATTGCAATCAGCAACAGCTAGAATTGTGAATGTTTCAGCGGAAAACAGACAAATATTCATTTGTCACATATTTTCGCGATGTCGTGATTAAAAAAAATTCTAAAAGGAAGCCAAGTGTTATTTAAAGGTGTTTTATAACACTAAAAAATGATGTTTATGAAAAAAATTACTTTAGTTATTGTTTATATTTGTGGATATGGAGATATTTGTCATTATGTGTTCAGGTATATTTTTTAATGGAGGGAGGTGTGTGAAGAGAATCATAAAGAAAACAAAATGAAAGGTTATAAAGATATTCTTCAAATCTCAACAATCACTTCTGTACAGTACAGTGTTGTCTATTAGGAACATTGACTGCAAATAATAGTTGTAGTAGATATCCATGTATAATTCTTTTATATTTCAGAATAAAGGTGTTATATTTATTTTTCACAATTAGAATTTTATTATGTTTAAAAAATCACAAAAGAAAAAGGCATAGGATGTGTTAAAAAAGTGAAAACAAAAATCACTGTAAATAACAGAAGCTACATCTTCTTATATCCTCATTAGATAAACAATGTTTATATGTACAGTGATTTTTAAAAAGTTAGAAATTTCCATATTTTTAACCTCGCCCATCATGAAAATTAAATCTCTCAAGAAAATCTAATTTCTCTCATCAAAATTTCTCAAATGAGAGAAAATCTCTCACAAAAAATCCTGACCAGGATGATCCCTGTTGGTTGTTGTTTTTTTAAAGTTGCACCTGTGACCTATTCTGTAATGGTTGTAAAGCAACTTGGACAGCTCATTAACACAAAAAAAATCTAAGTTCTTAGCAGGATTAAAACCAATTGAGGAGCAAATCGTTTGAAGTTAGTGAATCTTAAACAATATGTGTGGGTCATCCTTGACAATGTTGTTCAATGTCAGACTACATTTTCGTATCAGTAAATAGCACTGAAACTGTTTCAGTTGTCTTCTTAAGCTCTGATCATTTGGAGTAAAACCTTTTTGGGGGGTAAAAATTTTTTGGTTTTTTTTCTTAAGATGCTCTTATTCATCTTGGTTTGCTGGAGGGGCTCACTGCCGAGTATTCATACCATTAGCTCCTCATCGGCATGTTCGGCCTCTGGCACCATGCATGTCACGTCTGATTCTTACGCCACACCATCTCATCTGAAGTATCATATAAACAGCATGTCTTCATTTAAATAGCAATACAAGATAAAGACAAAGCACGGGAACAGTAACTATGTTTAGAGCAATAAAAATAACATATTAAAAGATAAACTTGTGACTTAAAAGTGACAATAAATAATTAAGTAACACAATTACAACAGCACTTTGCGAATTGAACTTGAGTCAAAGGATTTTTAAATAAATACTTCTAAAGTGAACAGACTACAATGAGTTAGCTTAGGAATTTTCAAATCAAAAATACTAAATGGGCAGCGACTAAATTATGAACGAGCCCTATACTAAGTGGCATAGTATAATATGGTATGTACTTATAATCTTCCTATTTTTTGAAATGATTAAAAAATCCCTGTCCAACCTTCCAACCTCTTCAATCCGATACATATCCTACTCCAGCTAAGTCTTCAATTCTTGAATTTATCATTTTATTGTTGTTAGAACCCTATCAAATACTAAAGAACTGCCTCCCTGTAGAAGCATCTGTTAATTTCCCTTCCTTATACAAGGGTAACTTCTTTAGAAAATCGGGAAGATGGGCTGCAGTATACTGGGCAACCTCAGCACCTGGTTTATATAAAATCATATATAAATAATAAATTTCAGTCAAATATGAAGTAAATCTGCAATGCCAAGATTATTCATTTAATAAGTGTATAATATAAGGTATTATAAGCTACACAAAGTATGACAATTTAAATGTTTTAATTCAAAATGTATTTTAACTTAAATCACTCACCCAAAAAAACTTAGCCAAAGTGATTTTCAGTTTTATATTTCATTTAAAAAACCCATGACATTTATTCTAAGCAAAACCAAAGAGTACCTCCATGTCCATCATAGACTGCAAAAAGAGCTGTGTTTGTTTCTGGGTCAAAATCACTGATACAGTTGTGAGCATCCTGAAATATTCATTCATGTTGTAATTAAATAAAAGTTTTACTATTAAATAAATGAGAGTAACCAGAGCATGACATTATTTATTAAAATCACCGTCTAAAAGGTATTACGCATGTATATTTTCATAGAAATTACTTAAATCAGTCGTAGTGGCATCTGCCATAATAAATAGATATTTTCTACAATAACTTGAACATAAATTGCATATTTGTCTGCACATTTTTTATGAATATTTACATATAATTTTATGGGTGGAATAATTTCTACAATCATATTTGATATTTTTTTTAAGTTAAGTAACTGGTTAATTTCATTTTAGTTAAAAACTCCCAAGGACGTAACTAATGTCTGGAATGTACAGAAGTACAGAAGACAAAGTTTGGCTAGGTTTTCAGATACGTGAATAGAAATCATATTCATAATCCGACAGTTAAAGGAAAAACTTATGTTTTATTTATAAAGAAAAAAACTTCCTTTTTTTTCATGCAATGAGAGCTCTGTTCAAACTCCAACTCTCATTAACCCCTAGCTTACTCTGCTAATATACATCATATTCATCAACTGCATAAGTGCAGCAAAGATGGCTTAACATATTCAACGTGCTCTGTGCTCCTACTTTTATGTGCTTGGAGTACTCCCAAGGACTTCTACTTTGAAAATCCTAGTGAGAACCCTGCTTAAATTATTCAGTGTTGAATCTAGGTTGCGCGATTGCGCAATTTGCATTTTTTATGCAGATCGCACATTTTAATGAAGTCAAAGCACGCCAAGTCGCGCATCTGACAATCTTTTCAACTATGAACTTAATTCAGTATCTTCATCGTATCTTGAACGATTCAGCCATGTTTGTTTTCACTCATGGTTATGACTAAAATATGTACTAAATCGCGTGTAGCAGCTGACTGAGTCATCTCACGTGTGTTTTGTAGTATTCGTCAATATTTTATTTTATTTTTGAGCGGATGATAGCTGTCAAAAATGCCTGAACGTAAAATAAATGACTTCTATTCGGTATGTCATATTGTAAGGTAAATGTATGCCCCCCACATTTTTTTAAATCCCCCACATTTTTCAATTATGGGGGACAATCCCCCATAATTTTGAAATTCTAGATGCAACACTGGTTATTTCAATTGGTCAGCATCTTCTTATGTTTCTATATTGATGGTCACACTAATTTAAAGAAAGAATCATTTTTACATTCAACAGAGTTTATTATAAAATAATGCTTGAAATGTCTGGGCCGGAAAAATATCATCCGGGCCGGAAATAAACCTAAGGGTCACGGTCCTTGTGGCCTGGAAAAAAAAAATGACTTTCGCATACACTGACATAAACTACCTCATAGTTTCTAACAGGTAAAAAAATCAGCAAGTGTTTGACCATGTGATAACAAGATTGACCTTTACCAGTTAATTTGGGTTAAAAAAGTCGCTAACCTCCTAAATGTCATATCCGGAAGAGTCAACTCGGCCCTATACATACATGCCATAATTTTTGGACAGCTTTCCGGGACACTTTTCATCGCGGCAATAATGGATGTGTAGGCAGTTGTGGAAAAGGGGGGGGGGGGTGTCAATCGTATAACGTTATTAAATTAGGACGACTTTCTCCTGAATTTTAATGATAAAACAGTTAACTTACTAATTTATAAGTTGTCTTTTAGGTCGACATATTTATCATTTAAAAAGTATTTCTTATTTTAATTTATTATTCCCTAAAAGCAAGTAAGTTGTAAATTATATAAACCCGGTGAATGGGCGCAGCCATGTTGTTCACCCGTTATATCTTAAAGTCATGATAATTACTACATGTCACGTAATGCAATTCTTCCAGTCATAAAAACAAACACAGCAAGGTGATTTATTTGACACCTTTTAATTTTTTAATTTGATAGATATATTTACATTGTTTGTAATAATTAGACTTTCGGCAAGTTAGCGATTGATCTAAAAATTAATGATTATCGGGGATTAACGATAATTGTTTAGGGCCGTAAACAATTAATTAACCCGACCATTAAACGCTGCCGAATTCAACAGGGAATGTTAATTGCCGATGCATGAAGAATCTATTGCCGAGGGGAATCGACAGTCGATAATTGGGGGGCTGTATATTGTAAACTTGTAAGTGTCAACGTTCCTGTGTATTATGTGTACCAGGTCAGATTATGTTTTACGATCTAGAGGTGAAATGTGCGAGATTTGATTTAAGAAAATATATGAAAATTTTGCAAAATATCATGATTTTTTTTCCGGGATCAAATCGATGCCCGGGACATCTCCGGGACAGACATCCGATTTCCGGGACAATCCCGGGCATCCAGGACTTTATGGCATGTATGGCCATATACCAACTCGGCACGGGTCAACTCGGCCCACTTTAGAAAAATATATAGGCCTATAACGTATACAATTTACTTTGCTTTGCATGTCGTTAAGGTAAATGAATAATAAGAAATATCTTATTATTATTATATGATTATACATTGTACCTCTGCTGAAATAAAGTATATTTAGAAAAAAAAGTTATTTATTTGTCTTGCAGATTTGATAAAATTAATATAGACACAGGCACGATTATCGAACCTGGGAAGAAAAAATATGAACAGATTGATAAAATAACTTCATATTTTTTCTTCCCAGGTCCTATACTTGTGCCTGTGAATATAGATATAATAAAAATGTGTTTCCTTAGATGCATTTTGTTTGTAAAGTAATTTTCAAAAAAAAATGAAACAAAAACGTGTTTACTTAATAGCATAAGCTTCTAATTAATTGCAGGTGGTCACCCCAATAAAATTTGAATGAATGAGTCAACAGTGTTTTTTTTTCACTTTTTGGGTGCCGTTTGGAGGGGGAAAAATGCAAAAGGAGGGGGAATTTTATTTCTTCACAAATGAAGAAACAAAAACGAATCCAATGCAAATTTTAATACAACATCACTTACCACTGTAAGATTTACTTTTGTTTGTTTGTTTGACATTGTTTTCTTTCCAGTGAGTAGAAAAGGGGAGCAACTCTTGCAACAAAAGTTTAAAATACGCCGCTTTTTCTTAATATACAGATCTAAAATATTGACAGCAGAATTTAAAGAGTCGCATGTTAAACTTGTTGGGACGCCAGGAGTAGCTCCCCTTACATACCCGTGAACAATTTGTAAACAACTTTGATTAACAGTAAGTTATACAGGCTTAATATAAAACATTTTTCGGTAGTTATATGCAAAAAAAATGGTATCCATTGCAGGCAAATTTGGCTGCCATATGAGTGGGGAAATTTCGGCTTTGAGAGGGGAAAAAAACATACTATTTTGAGGGGAGAATGTAGTCCTAATTATAAGACCTATACGTAACCTATTTCATATTTATCATTCATTAATCTGATATTTTACATTTTTCATTTTCCATGTTACGTTAGGTCTTAACAGATCTTTGCAAAATCGCGTAGCAAAAAAATTGACATTAGACATCGACAGGGCTCAAGCTAGGTTCAAAATTTAGGGAGAAGTCACTTCTCCCTCCAGCTGATTTAGGGAGAAGTGGGGAGACTTTAGGGAGAAGTGAGGAGGATTCTAATGTATTGATGTTATGTTGTAGTGTTTACGCAATAATGTTGATCACTGTCATATCTTTTTAAATTATATGATTTGTGTTACAACGAACTATTTTTCATTTCACTTTATTTGATAAATACAGGAATACGTCGCGTTAAATGCTTTATCAAATTGTAACACTCGTCGACAAAAAAGGTTATCATAAACTTTCACTTGTATAAATACCGTTACATTGTTTTATGTCGAGCGGCTTCCGCTTAAATTCTGACAACTACTTCGATAAGTGAATCATTAATTTGACGTTTGACTCCGTCAGCTACAAGTATTGTTACACGGTAGTTTGTAATGTTAGCTAATTAATTGATGTTAAATAATGTCGCTCGATTAAAACGTGAATTACACATTGGTTTCTCGCACCGTATGCGGTAATCTCGCCATGGGCGGAGTCTAATTGTTTTCCCGTCGAGCGTGCTGTTAATTTAGACTTTTATGGGGACTATGTTGGTAATCAAACGGAATAGAATGATCATTTCGCGTTGACGTTGAGATGGCATGACAGTTCCTTTTTTCCGGCGGCGAGGGTAAACAAAGCAAACACAAACCACATGTTACTTCACAGTTTATTGTTTGGTAAATTTACAATAATGATCAATAAAATCCGGGCGCCTTCATCTTCGCTTTCCATGTAGATGTCGGCGAAGTCCAGACGGAGAATTCGGCGACTAGTTCGCCCGAATTCGCCCACTTCAGCTCGAGCCCTGATCGATCTTTAGATCTATGATGAAATTTAAACAAGTTAAAACAGTGTGTATTTTACATTAATTCTTGACGTCTCTTTATGAACAAACTACCACAAAAATAAATCCACCTTTAAAACAAAATAATTGAACGTCACAACCGAATAAGCATGATTAATCCTCTGCATTTAATTAATCTCTTTGTACAATGCCGATATATCAAAATGGCCGCCCTATCAGTGCGCGAAAATTTGATTGCTAATGTCAAAGCAAGCGTTTAAAATGTCCAATGAAGTTTACTAATCTAACGGAATGATTTTCAACGAATAATGGCCATGGCTCCGTCAAGTGTGTTCGAATAGATCTTTTCTCCGTTCAAAAAATTGGAGATCAATTCTGTATAAACGCTTCTACTTTAACCAGGATGGCCGATGATGCGCAAATAGACTGATTATTTATCATTTTGAATTTTTAATTGATTAAGTACATTGGTTTGAAAGTTTTTTGATGAAGACCATGCCTAATGGAAAGGAACCAGAAGATAGAGCTTCTGAATAAAGGCTTGAAGCAATCAACAGACATTTGTTTCTAATATTTTTCAAAAAATGCTGACCGTTTAAGTGAGAAATAATATTAGATCGTCAGCTTCAACCTAACAAAAACTATAACAACTGTAACGTCCTAATCTATTGGACCTAGGGGGAATGGGAGCCAAATTCGCCGATATTTTGGTGAACAAAAAAAACACTGGTCAATCATATTCTACTACCTAAGTTAATCGGTATCTTTAATACATACACATTGATTGAAGATAATAATACATCCTTTCTTTTCAAGTGGGCCGAGTTGTGCGAATAGGGCCAAGCGCTGACTTGGGGGCCGGCTGACCCGGATTCGGTCATATCCGACGCTGTAGTCGGCGTAATTGTATGTTGCAATTTCAAATTGACGGTCATTATTATTTTTGATACTTTAGAATAGAGTATAGAACGGGTTCATTAAAATAATTGTTTTATCGGCAAGAATGCCACAAGAGATTAATTTGGGACAAGGGGGTATTTACAAATGAAAAATAAGGTTATAATCAACGCATTGGTCATTCTGGTTAGGTTCGTTACGGGTCTAGGTGGTGCCCCTATTTTACGAATTTTGTCGATTGGTCCTCTGGGAAATGGTTAACTAGGCTGGGGCAACTCTCTCGATCGAGGCATATTAAGATCAAGACACGGCTATTTTTAGCCTCGTTTGGCTATATGACAATGAATGAAAACGTGGGTAAACTGGCATTTTTAACATACTTTTCCGAAATCATCGCGCACGGTAGACGGAATTATGCAACGTTACACTTTTCAACTACTTCAAGCCGAGAATCAAGATATCAATACAATTCAGACATCCAGCTTTTTATGAAATTGGGGTAAAATACTGACAATTTTCGAATAGAATTACCACCAGATATTTGCTGCTTTTCAACCTATAATTAGACACCGCTGTCACACGATCTTTTGGCCAAAACCTCTGTCACTTGTTGCTTGTGTCCACTTTCGGTTGAAATTTTTAAGAAATCAAGACTGCTGCAATCAGCACAACGAATTTTCATTGTTTTTTTCATTAATTAGTACTAGGGTGTTTGGCATAATAGTTATGATCGCACATTATTTGTATTATAATTTAATATGGTATTTTTGTATATTAAATGAACAATAACAAATTTTATTTTTGAAAAATAAATGTTTTTAATTTCAATAGATCCGTATTTGTTTACAGCTTTAATTGAATATCATATATAAACAAAAGGTGCATGTGAAGTGTGAAAATAAAAAAAAAGAAAAAAGTTTTTTTTTTTATATTAATTATTTTGGTAAAATGCTTGTTCTCTGTGCTGTAGACAGCCATGAAAATTCACAGGTAGAACAACAGTCCCTTGCGCATAAAAGTAAAAAATCACTAAAAATTAAAGGTTGTGATATATTGAATTACATGAAGACCGAAATGAGACTGTAAACCACGTAATGAAGTGCAATAAGTGTCAGTTGGTGTAGACTGATGTTAGGCATATTCTATTAAAAAAAAGAGAAAGTTGCAATTAAACATAGACGATATTATTGAGTGATATCTCACAATAATGAACTTCATGAGACATGAACTTGAAAACTTTGCGTCTGCATAGGTCATATATCAATATTAAATTAGGACATGAAACGGCAGAAAATAATCCTGCAATTACAAGATTATACAAATTCTATCCAATTTTCAATTACAAAATCTGTTGATTGATAAAACAAATTATTGGTCTTCTTTATAAATAGCAGTATGCGCTTTATACAACAGCAAAACTGCAAAAAAGAATGTGGTTATGTGTGATCATCATCTGATAATTAATCATAAACGCTTCTAACCTGACATATTTGCTCCACTCGCAATTCTGTTGTAATTCAGAAACATATTACATAAGTGAATGCATAATTAATATCACAGATACACGAACAAGCAGAAACCATGCTCGGTGGGAGTTATAATGAGGCTTCAAACTGTTGTTGAAATCCATTTCTGTGAAGCCATGGAAATTAAGCCCCCAAGGGGATATTGTAACTTTTGCTTGACATATCAAGTTGTAGCAAGAACTGAGGGTTACAATGGATTTATAATGCAACTGCATTCTGTAATACGACTAGTGCATATATAGATGCGCTAAACTTAATAGCGAATAATACAAGTGTCAGCCTTGTTACAGCCCAAGAAATGGGTTATATAATGTTAATGCAAAAGATTGCTATCTTCAATCGAATGTAGAAACCGCATTGGGTAGTAAATCATGGCCAGATTATGAACAAAATCAGGAAGCCAAATTTGTAATACAACATGATAGGTTGCTAGAGAGGTGCTGTCTGAGCATTGGTCCTGAATTCATGCATCTGAAGCGATATATTTTTATTTTATATTTATTAATAAATGGCTGAGGTTCATAAAGTGAGATTGCGTAAAAAAATAAAAATGTTTACTATCATGTAATAGTATTTTCTGTTTGTTTTATTTCAACACAGTATGCTGAAAAATTCAATTCACATACTCTGTAAAACAAGAAATTTCTTGATTTTTTTTTAGTTTGAAAAAAAAATAAAATAATGAGTGCATATACATAGAAAAATAAAACATTGTGACAAATTCAACAGCAAGACTTACAAATGAAATTCAACTTATTATTTAAAATTGCAACACATTATTTAATTTTCAAATTAGTAAATATATAAAAGTCATAAATAGATTTTTGTAAAGGATTCTTTTTATTAACTCTATTATCTGTAATACATAAAAAATGAAAGAACATAAAATATGTTGCGTATATATAACATACAATAAAAACGATATTTTTCGATAATGGGACTAGAAAGACTATACGGGAATGACCAATACCGAAAGAAAAAATAAAATAAGAATAAATAAATTTATAACTAAAGAATCATACAGCAGAAGGCAATTGAAAAGCGCAACGGCGAGCGTCACTCAATAACGTCACGTCACGTCACTTCCTTTCTTTTGTTTATTTATCCTTTTATGCATAATAAATGCTGCTTAAGAACGCTGAAAGTTACTATGGCTAATTTAGATTAGCGTTTTATCAAAACGTTTCTATAATTTTAAGATAAAATTATCCATCATAAAACTGTCTTTGAAATATAGTTTAAAACAAAAATTATATTATATGTTCAAAAGGTGGAAATTGCGACTTGAAAGAAGAAGTTAAAGATCCCTATGATTGGGTGCCAAGTGGGCATCAGACGAAACCTGATATTAACATAATGGAACCAACTATGGTCAATCCATGTTCATATGATTCTGTAACAAATGTTTTGAAGGTATAATGATTAATTTCAATTTAACCTTTAAATGAAAATAATTCATTCTTTGATGGAATGCATTTCATCATTATCATTTACGTTTAGCTAATTATAATTATGACATTTTTTGTTTTTTATGTAACCATATTGTTGTATTATGGGTATATTAATTAATATGTACACAGAGCGTGCACTTGTAATATATAACACAGCCACGTGTTACTAGTTATATGTTTAATGACCACTGGATGTTCCAAGTATATAATTGGCGGGAAAATAATGGACATGCGCATTACAGTATAATATATTATTAAGATTAAACATATATGTATACAATATACAACACATATTATGCAAAACTTCCATTTACATCTTAATGAATCATATTTACAAATAAAAGTTATTCATTGAAGTTATTGTTATAGAATATTTTTTGATTTACATGAATTATATATGTAAATATAAAACGATACTGTAATTAAAAATAAATAAAGAGATATATGAAGTTGACTTCCTTTATAAGATTGTCAATATCATTGTTGAATAATGCATTATTATAAAGCATGTAAAGTAAAAATCGATTTTTTTAAACATACCTTGTCCTTGGAATTTCAGCATGTGAAAGATCAGGTAGGCGTCGGTGAGAAAAGGCAGTGGTCATGTGTTGGATGCGACGGACTTCCTTACATTCTCGGAAGCAGGATAATTGATCGAAATAATGATTTGAAGGACTTACTTCTTATTCCTGGTTATGGTCACCTTGAAATGAATGTCGTTAAGAGTTGCTTTAAACTGCTCTGGGATATATCCTTGCAAGACCTGGCACAGATGCTAGGTTTTCGAACGCCACGAGCCCTTGTCTGTTGTCAGAATTGCACAGATCATCATAAGGCATGGATGATGTTAAAAATATTTCTGTTTGGTACAATCGATGAACTTCTATATACTTATGTGTCTTTCATAAGAATAGAAAAACAAACACCCACTGTAGATGGTTTATATGCTTACAAAGCTCAAAGTGAAGATAAAAACTATAGATTTATGTGTGACGTTTTACTTAATTATGTTTTAGCTGTGTTTGTATTTAGATGTGGAGTACGTAGAAATAATTATAGGTATATAATGGCTGGGAAGTGCAAATTCATGAAATTATTTTACGGATTTAATCAAACTTATTATCAGGAAATTATGTTCAGAGATTTAAAAGCAAGGGTTTTTGCACCTGAAGAAGTTAAACAATTCTTGGAAAACACAGAATCCTTCTCTATATCGGGGGATCATAGCAAGGGAGAGGGTGGTGATTTTGTGTTGGAAGCGGTGAATGGGCGAGCAAAACGGTGGCTTCCACCCGGCATTCCAACGCAGAATCATTGGTTAAAAGTTTGCCGAAATTTAGATTCATTGCAAAAGGTACAATTATAAATTTGAGATAAGTGTGTGAAATACTTGATAAAGCTAAAGTTATGTTATTCAAATGATCATAAACAGCTTTTGTCGGGATATGTTAACCAAATGGTTCATAGCATTGTATAATCTGTGTCATTCCTATATTTTCATTATATATATGAAAAAGTTATTAATCACATACATATATTAATGGAACATATTCATATCCGCATTAACTCTATAAAATGATATAAGTATTTGAAATGAATTGATATTTTAAAATTATATGCAAGTTTGTCATTTCATTGATTAATGATTTTAATCATATCTTTATGTAGATTAAAGATAACACTTTTAATCAACTTGATTTGAAACAACCAACTCCAAAAATGTATCAGCGAGATATAACCACTGAAGTATTAGAATGGCGATGCAAAATAAGAAAAAGTGGATATCTAGGCAATAAGGAAACAAATAAGTATGTGCTAAATATTAACATTAGTAAACATAAAAGTAAATCAATTGTTTTAGATAAAATTATTAAAATAAGTTCAACATTAAACTAGTAATAAAGAAACTTCAGCCATACTTTGAAATACGTGTAGTTCATTTAATATATATATTACAGAAATAAATTTCAATTATCTAAGGCAAGTTATTAATTGGACCAAATTAATGTGCATAACAGTTAAATCAATATTTTATCATATTCTTTCAGAGAACATTGTTCCATTTCTGGTACGTATGCAGATCACGAGCTGTTTTTGTTTGAGTCAAAATGTTCTTCAAATATGAACATATATTTAGATGGAATAGAGAACGGAAAAGAGCCCGGCAAAGGTATCAATATCATACCTGTTTTTACGACGTTGTTACACCGCCAAAAATTTAATGACGTAGAAAAAAAATCGAAGCAGCAAATTGCTACAATAATTGAAGACGCAATTAAATCTATCCATAATAATGGCCACACAGATGCTGCATTTGTACTTGAACAACGTTGGAAAAAAATCAAAGGTAACTGACACAACACAATAAAAGTAACAAAGTAGTTAATTAAATTTAGTAATATTTCCGTCAAATCAAGATATACGTACAATAAACCTTTTAAGGTCAACTTAAAGGCATTAATTGTTTATTTTTTATTTCATATTTTACTTTACTTATTTATATACTCTATCATGTCGATTAAAACGACACAAGAACGATCATGCCATTCTATTTTCAGTGAAAACTAAGAAAGATATGCTTGGATTTTATAAAGAAGTTATACAGGCCCTAGAAAATGCAACCGCTGACGAAATAGGTATTAATTATTTTTTTTTAATTTAAAATATAAATGGTGACGCACAAATGATGTGTAAATTCTGTGAATTAATTGCCAGTATATAATGTGTTCGCCTGTAATTTATATTTTAGGAAATATATAAGATGCCTAGTACTGGTATATAGTGCCTATGATATGACAATATCTTTCTTAAAATGGAATATTTTTTTGGTAATATTTTTGAATTATCCTTACATTTATATTACAGACGACGAACAGTCAGATGATGATAGAGAATAAAGTTATTGTAGAACATGCGGGAACACCCTGTACTAATTAATGAAAAACAATTAAATTCGTTTGATTGCGATCTTTGATCTTAAAAATTTCACCGGAAGTGGACACAACAACAAGTGACAGAGTTTTGCTCCAAAAATCGTTGTGAAGCAGTGTCTAATTATAGTTGAAAACAGCAATATTGGTGGTAATTTTCAAAATTGTCAGTTTTTACCCCAAATTTTCTATAAAAAGTGGAGTCTGAATTGTATTGATATTTCTTGTTTCGCTTGAAGTAGTGAAAGTGTAAGTTGCATACATTCCGTCTACGTGCGATATTTCGGATAAGTATGTAAAAATGACCGTTTTACACGTTTTCATTCATTGTCATATAGCCAGAACGAGCTAAAATAGCCTGTTTGAGCTATATAGCTCGATCGGGAGAGTTCCCCAGCCTGTATAAAACAAGTTTTAAGATAAAGATGGATGCATTATTGGTGTTAAAATGTTAAAAGTTATGTATTATAAGCAACAGACATTGATTCATGAAGAAAAAGGCTGGGTCTGACCCCCAGAGTGCAAGTGGAATAAATTTGATGATGCAAACCTCCTGTGACATCCTCCATCCTTGCATAGACGACACTCCATATGTAAACCTTGGACATTTTTTGTCACTAGATTCTTTCTCTGTTACTGGAGCGGATAAATAAACCCCCATTGTAATTTGGTTTCTAAAAAGTCGATAAATTGGAAATTAATCACATGTGTAATTTAGCTCACAGTATTTCGCGGCTTTTTCCGGAAGATCACGTGACTAAAGTTTCCGGTATATAGTTGTTGTTGTTTTCTCATGCTAAAATCCGTAAATGACCGGATTTTTTCATTCAAACAGGTTGTGGAGTTTTAATAATCCCAACTTGGATAGTATTAGTTATTTGTCACACAAAATGTATATTTTCAACGTGAGTTAGTGTGTTTTTGCTCAACAAAAATACATTTTTCGGTGTATGTCAGGTCGGTCCCCTAGTCATTTCGGGGTACGTTACGATACCGAAATCAACTTTTCATTACCGAAATCAACTGGTTTAAATATTGCTATTATTTCTTCATTATTTGATGAAAATTAGTGAAATAGACTTTCAGTTAAAAAAATTTATTGAAAATATTTTATTTTAATGATGTTATTAACAAAAATGTAATTATTGAGTTACTTCCCTTTGTTCTAAACAACCCGTTATGTGTTTAGCATTACCGAAATCAGCTGTGAAGTTTAAATTCTGTCTATAAAAAAAACATGTATAATACATATATAGTGATTATTTAAGATAATTTATGTTTTTGAAATTAAAGAAAACCCGACTGCATTGGTGAGAGCGTTCAGTTGCAACTGAATTAGAATAGATATCGCGTGTAATATCTAGCTGTTCAGTGCATCCAGGCCACACCACAGGGAGGCACTCTCTTCATGTCCCATCCTTTTTTTTTTTCTTTTTTTTTTATAGTTTTTTAAGCAATAAAATATATTGCAGGTTTAGAGATATTTGGAACACAAATTATGCATGTACAGCAATCATTTATTTCAAGACATTAGCACAACATGTTATATATATATGCACATGATTGTTGTGCATAATAATTTTCTAATCAAATCGTATTTTTAAAAATCTATGATCGGACTTGGATGGAAAAACATAATACTCTGTAATATGAGTTAAAGCTAATGATATATTTTGGACATGTTTATGTTTAAAGAAGAAAACATATCCAACTTCAACCGGAAGTTTATGATTTTCTATTATAAATTTGAAAACATAATTATGTATAATTCGACTGCTCTAAAAAATTTCAATAAAAAGTGTATAAATTAATGTATCAGGCAGTAAAATTGGAAATTGGAAAGTTTGTGTCTTTCTTTTATTGAACAATATAACTGTATATTAACAAATCGCTAACATATGTTATGGGGACTATTCATTATAATATCTATTTATATTTTATTAATTTTTATTTATTTAAATGTTTATTACGAAATAAATCGATGATTCATTATAATCTTTTATCTTTAACATACATTGTATGTCAACTGTACCTCCTGTCTTAATTACTTCACACCTTACTTAATACAGTAATACACAACATGTCATATCGTACAAGTTACAACATTACATAATTGAAATTTGTCAGTTTAAAGTGTTCCATTTTTTCCATCATACAAATCATCATTCATATATCAGTCATTCCATAAATTTATGCTATCTACAGATACGGAATTTAAAATGATTATAAATCGATCAACATAAAATCATGACTTAACAACTTTTTCAATAAGTAGAATATGTAGTTATTAATATATTATAAAGTATCCGGGACATCAAAAAATGCATACATTTTTGGAACAACTGATATGCAAGTTAATCTGATCACATTACAAGCCCGTATTCTCCCATTTTTAGCTCAATTTAGTATTGTTCACTTTTTGCATAAACATTTCTTTTCTTTTTTTAAGAAAAAAAAAATTGCAACGATACACGAAAGAGGACCAGTCTTGTGGTAAATTTTAATAGAACAATTATGCAAAAGAACCAGCCCAGCATCCACTTGAATAGGAACAAGGTAATGTCAACCCACATTATATGTAAATTACAAAGCCTTGGTGTTTATTTATCTGTTAGAAGAGCTAACAAACAGTACCATGTCCAATGCAAGTTATCATTTCCAGGGCTGGAAATCAAAACTGCGTCGTATCCTACAAAATGTAAACAAACGCCGCCATCTTAATTGGAACGAAAAACGTACAGATGTATGTTTTTGTTTATAACTCTTTTTGTTGGAAATGACTGAAAACAGGATATATGTATTGTCACGCTACCTCCAAAAATACAAATGCGTCGTATCATATTTTATTTTCAACTGCGTCGTATCATTTCGTAAAAATTATTAATTTTCTTAGAAAATATGAAATCTTCTTTTAAATGGAAAGTTTTAGATAAACTCAGCCACATCACCCCACCCCTGCAAAATTCATGTTTTGACAGTTAGGGTGAATTTGATTTGAAGCGAGTAAAACGATGTTAGCATATGAACTGCGTGTACCACTATTTATAAAATTCTGTCCCCCGCTTGATCGAGTTGCAGAAGTTTTCGCTTTATCACTGGTGTGTGGGTTGTGTGAGGGCAGGAGAAGTAGGGTGGGGTGGGCGAAGCGACGATAGTGAGGGCAGGGGGATACAACATGAAGCGCATTAGTGTTAGCGTGTTTATATGCATATGAGTCACACTCATACACGTTTTCAGTCATCCCCCCACCACTCTCCACACAACATAAAAGAGTTATAACACATTACTTTTTCGGCCACACCCAACTCCAAACAAGATGGCGGCGTTTGTTTACATTTTGTAGGATACGACGCAGTTTTTGAATTTCCAGCCCTGATTTCTATACTTGTTTTTGTTTGCTAGCTCATCAGTCCTCAGACATAGAGCTGAACCCTGGACCAGTCAGTAATATACCCCAGTATCCTTGTGGTAAGTGTGATCAGGAAGTAACTTGGAGCCAGAAAGCCATCCTCTGCGACAACTGTGATCGCTGGTTTCATACAGACTGCCATGGGATAGGAAATTCTACATATGAAAGGTTATCGGACTCCCCAATTCAGCTGGTATTGCCAGTACTGTGGTAGTTACAACCACTCTCTTTCTCTTAGAGCTTCCCTTGATTCCCTCAGTGATACAAACATATACTGCCACCTTGATTTTTCCAACAAATCAATTGATGATGACGTTTCTCAACAGGTAGGGTCTTTCCTCAGCACCTCCCCTGTAAACATGCAGTGGTTGGGCCAACCACAGAAAAACGTCATAGGAAAATCGTTGTTGGGTCATGGTTGACCCAACTCTAATTAACATGTACTATATAATGCAGTTGTTGGCCCAACGTCGAACCAACCATAAGTTAATGCCAGCGACAATTCTGCATTGGCCCAATAACGATAAATATGTACTTTAAAACAGATGTTGGGCCAACGTTTGACCAACGATACATTTTCGTCAAATATATTACTGCACCTGACCCAAAATTTATTTTTTTTTTTAAAGACAGATATGCATGTAGATATTTTACTGTATATAAACAGTACACTACAATGAATAAAGACTGAAGTTTATAAAGTTTTTTTGAAGCCATGTTCAATATTGTCACATTCAAGAAAATACTCATATAAATTAAATGAGAAATGTAAGAAATAATTACTTTTTGAGTCTAGAAATGACCAGGCTATGCAGTAGTAGGGGTATGTATCAATAGAGATCTATAGAAATCTTGAAGATCTGATGTATAATCTAAAAGCAATTATACATGTGCTGGAATAACCATAATAAACCTCCGGAATCTTCCACTCTGAACTCTAATTAACCTCTGGTTATGTTATCAATAAATGGAAATAGGATCATTTTGGCACGCCTGCAGGACAGGGCGGACCGTGAGACAGGGCGGACCGTACCAGGGCGGACCGTGACTCGAGACTAGGCGGACCATATTTTGGGACAGGGCGGACCGTCACTCGAGACTAGGCGGACCTTGATTTAAAAAAAGTATTTATATGTGTACTAATGTAATAATATGACTCGCCATTAAAAAACTGGATCGGGTTCCTCCCTGGGGAAAAAAAAGAATCTGCATGTTAAATGTTGACTTCTTTAACATGGACGAGTAATAAATTTCTGCTCCATTTGTTGTCTCGTGGCAATTGGCAAAAAATCATATTTCCAGTTTACCACACCGCCTGGCTTTTTTCATTAATGGACTGAGAAACGTGCAATTAAAAGAACTACGCACGTTTTTATTATGGGATATGCAACAAGAAAATACAACAAGGGATCAACAATGCTAAGTAACATTCAGAGAATGCAGTCCCCACACTGGACTAATACCGCAAAGGCACTCAGTAGGGTACCCAACAAAAAGCAAGAGAGGGCACAAAAAGCCGGAACATAGAGTAAATAAATGATAAGATTTGAACAGTACAGAACCAACTAAATTTTAAAAGCCGTATAAAATAATTTTAAAAGCAAGTGAAATAACACAATGGTATAAATTGTCAAGGAAAAAATCTGTGACTAATAAATATGGATCTTCGTTGAATCCTTTAAATAGCAGTTTTTTATATTTGTGACTAAAAAAGTAAGAATAAGTTTGCAACCGGAAATGCTTGAAGTACAAGTTTGCAACCAAAATGTGCTTGAGCAATATACTTTTTAGTATAAAACCTTTGTTAGGAAGCCGAGACGCCAAAACCGAGAATGTCAAAAACATTGTCTTAAGGAATTAGACATATTAGGTAATTTTCAAAAATAGCAATACAAACCACTTTCCTGTAGAAAATATGTGCCGGTGTTGTAAATATCCATTGACTCGATTAACCATTTTGTCAAAATTTGCAACATTATTTTCGCTGAGCCAAGTGTGCAAACCACTTCAGCGTCCTGCCCCTTGAAATTATACCAATAATTAAAGTACACAATACAGACATAAATTGTTTTTTAAAAAGAAGGATTGGGTCGTAAAGTTGAACTTATAAAGGCCTTTTTACAGATTTACATACATGAATAAAATACTGTATGACAGCATATGTGACTTGCTTGGAAATATAACTGGTCTTACATCCTTTTTAAAGTAATTAAATCAAAAATTGTTCTAATCTGGAGCAAAAATATAAACAAAGTAAAGAAGAATCGATAATACAAGAACCTATCATGTCTGTTAATTAGAATTAAAGGGAGAATAAATTAAATAAAGAGAGAAAGAGATATAATGAGGGAGAAACTTTCAGA